ACATACCTTTCTGGACTCCCGATCTGTAGCTCACGATGATACCAGCATTGCCAAATACTTGGTCCCGATATTTAGCAAACTGTATACCATCCTTATTTAGTTCTGTCGAAATCAATCCAGAAATTTCCAGTCAGTTTACACTCGATAAAGCGAACTGAGAGTTCCTCAACTTTCACCTCATTTTCATCCATGTTTACGTAGCACATTACCTCACGCATCTGAGGCACATCGGGAGTGCCGTCGAAAAGTAAGCAAAAATATTAGCTTTCCTTGACCTAATCTGATTTTCTGTCTCACCCGATTTGCTAACATGCTTACAAAATTATTTTGAACTTCTGGAGACAAATAAGGAGTGCCGAATTTCTTTCCAAGTTGAACTGCCCCCAAATGTTCACTAAGAAAAGGGTCATACTTGGCCAACAAATGCATTGCTGCTAAAATGTTCTCCTATTTTCCTAGCCTCCTTTGTCGTGCTGGATGTCTTTCCGTAATGTCATTTACCGCTTCGCGAGAAACGTCACATTTGACAATCTGGCTAACCTCCAGGCCATCTGTTTGTTGTCTTTCCCGTTGGGGCTTACTCTACTTCGTAAAATATCTTTCCTTCAACTAGTCGGATCACTAGCCCCTTTCACTTAAGGAGTGCCTGAGCATGCTTTGTACAGGATTCGTGTCCATATACTTTTGGATTTATTCTCACCAATTACTGAAGGCCTTATCAGTCGAAAAACTACACTGACCTGTTGAAAACAAACTGCCACAGAGGCAAAATGTCCTATTTGTGGGCAATACACCATCAGTTTTCGCAATCTTTGCTCCGTGTTTCACAAATTCAGAAAAATACTAGTTCGTTATTAGTTTTCTGCATTTCTTTTGTTGTGTTCGTTCCAGGTCGCACCACTTTTCGTATTCATGGTCACGGTGCTGTACAGCAGTACATCCCAGCCGGACAAGCATAGTGCGGATTTCATGGACAACCTTAACAGGCCGCAGACAGTAACAGCGGTTTGATATGCTTGCTATTGTACCAATTCCTTATATTCATGTGCATCCTCTGCACAAGCATTACATCTATTCATCGCTGCATAAATGCTGTCATTGTCACTTTCGGTTGCTTGGTTATCAACGTTAGCAATAGTAACTTCATCTGTTCTGCCAGCATGATCATCGCCTTTCGTTTTTGCCACAAGTAATGAGAATAAAACGGGTTTGGTGTCAGCGACAAACTGCTTGGCACTATAGACTAACGCATGGAACTCACAAGTCAAAACAAACCAAAGCCGAATGTGGACTGCAGTACTGTGCAAATGGATATCACATTCAATAATGGCAAGACACACTAGTACCCGTTCAGCTCGGAAACCACCGAGTCTTCACAAGGCACACAACCTGAGTGAAAGTCACCGTACTTGCGACTGTACATACAGATCAGGAAGAACAGCGTAAGCAACTGAGGTCACGCAGATGCTTATCTTTGCCCAAAGAACCCTCTGTAATGGTGTTGACACTGTCCACAGGCAATTGCTATGGGCACGATGTGTAACGGGACATTTGTGTGCGCCAACGTGAAGGAGCGGATGACAGGCAGGTGTGACAAAGGGCGCAAATGTGTTTTTGATTATCCAGAGCTATTTTTCAATATTAAGCTATCGGCTTATCCGGCAGCATTGCCGTTTTCACAGGATATCGAGCAGTCACCTGTACTAATATTGACGCCCCCTGTTCCACGCCATCCGCGGACGACATCGTCTTCCGTTAGTGGAGCTTCAATGTAGACAGTTGAACCAACAATCCATTGAATCCTGCTATACCTCTGCAAGATGGTTCCCAATGAAACGCTTATGACGAGCCCAACGATGAAGTGCCCAGGGTGTGTTATGCGCCTCTCACAAGATTCGTGTAGTTGCGTCTGATAGGTGTTTATTCCATCTGGGGGCAATAGTGATTTAGCACACCTCCTTTCTAGGCACTGAATGCGCACGGTGCCTTGGTTTTGAATATGGGTTCATGCTTCGTGTGTTATCATCACTCCATGAAGCTCCACCGCCCCGGCAACAAAACATGCTTAACCGACTGACCGATTCACCCACTGATAGCCCGACTGATTGTCACCTGACCCAGCAACTACAAGAGAAACCTGTTGACCGGTGCGCTGGCGTGCATGCGCGAGCGCGCACTACGTAAACACGGTGTAATCAATCTGTGCTTTCATGATTCTGTGCCGCAATCTCCCGCTGTGAGTGGCCTTGCTGCAGGGGTGGTCAAACTAGGGGTGCAGTGACAGGACTAGCCAGCCGATAATGGGCCAACCACGCTCTTTGACGCCCCGTCACTGAACTAAAGTGCTCAGCAATGATTCAGACCGGGAGTGCTGCGATTTGGCTGAGGTAGGATACGGATACTACATCTATGCCAGCGCAAGAGGCACTACAAATTACATCCACATAAGTGTGAAACCGGTTCATTAAGGTATACAGAAGCCGTGATGGCTTAACTAGATGGAAATTCACGAGGCATGAAAGTTGTTTATGAGTCCTTATGTGATAAGTCGATGAAGTCGCATTTATTTCTGTTTCACAACATTCGACCATGACCATCATCTCTCAAACAACCATCTCAGTCGATTGTGAGCACCCAGCAAGGGCTGGTACGGTAGCGTTCAGCACTATCCGGTGAGCCACACATATATAAGTTAAAAATAAATGTCATATCGGTGTGACGGTTACCATAATCATCCACTGCCTACCTGGTTGCTCCTTGGGGAAAGGTGCTGCGCACTCATGGTAAATCAGAGTGAGTAGCCTAAATGGACTTCCGCTTCTCCCGGATTGTTTGTAGGAGAAGAGTCGTGGGATATTACAGACGCTCACACCATTACCGATCCGCCAAACGTGCTATCTGAGACAAAGGCATCGAGGAACAGTCAAGGAGCTGAGATACATCGAGCAACGAGTTTTCCCACAACTAGAAAAATTGGTGTGTAGAGCCCGCGGAACTGACTACTTTGTACATATATTATCATGTACCAGTGAACTCAGCCATACGCAGTATCCACCCAGGCCCCACAGACGAGTTTATCTGCAAAATACCACTAGAGGTCAGTAGGTCTTTAGCTATGAGAGTTGTTGCATTAGTAATCACTGGTTGATATAGGTCAGCACATTGTGCAAGTTCTCCCCGAGTTTTGGGCCACTTCAAGGGGTCATAATGAATGGACTGGTTTGGCACGTGTTCAGCAACGTAGTCTCACTAGTAGCAGCGGCACATTATTAGTTAGCATTGCGGTTTTGTTACCAAACGGCAGAAGACAGTTGTACAATGAGTCAGGTAGCACCTGGGCACAAAAACTCAAGTGCGAATGGGGACCTGGAATCCCGGTGAGGCCGTTGATTAGTTAACTACCTAAACTACCACCCCCAGGCTTTTCACTTACTAGGGCACACCATTTTCCCGCCCTCTTACTGATCGCAAAGGGAAGTCTGGTGACTAAACGGAGGTTGTTTTAAGTACTCAGTAGAGTCGATTTCTGGATGTGTAATTGAACCCAAAATGCATGCAGTTCATTAAAATATATACCGTGGCCTCTAGACGGCTTCTAGATGCGGAGATGCCATTTAGTCTGTGGCCTCTGGACGCAAACCGGAAATATGTGGGTACCACTGAGACCATTTTCACGTAACAATGTGCAGTTGCGCTGGTTACCGAAAAAGCAGTCTACTGACCGGATTAATGTGGTCAAAAAACGTGTGCTGCAGTAGAATGAATAATAGTGTGTAATAATAACCACTGTCTGTTACGTTTTTACAAGGAAGAGGACAATTGAACTATCAAGAGATTCCAACGCATTCCGCTTTGCTGTAGTAGGAGAAATTACTTATGTTTTTCGTATACCGATCATCAGTGGATGTCAGTTAGTTTTCGACAATCCATCCTACTTGAAAGCGTTGTAACTATGTAGATCAGGAGTGAGGATGGAAGATCGTCACCTAATTGAATACCATAAGAGGAAGCATGGTGAACGACTGCATTGATGGCTTTATGTCGACTAAGAAGATACAATTAAATCTCCGATTAATCTACAACCCTGACTTGGCATTACTGCAAACAGTTGCATCTGACTGCGCAGCCTACACGCTCTAGTGTGCGTACGTGTTAGGTAGGACAAACAGATTTGCTTGCAATATAGAACGCCGTAAGCAGACAGACACCGAGGTCCTTAATTTGACTAGTGCATGGTGTCAGTTTTCGCTGTCACAAACCTGGTTACGCTAGTCCCCATCCGGATCATATCGTTCATCAGTATTCAGCTACGCAAGTTGGAGAGGGAGGAGAAAGCCTTAGTAATGCACTGGAACTTCTATCGCCGCTGCACCGCCACCCACACATCACTAATTGTACACGACCTCGGACACCTCGAGGTCGTCTGGGCCTTCACCACTTCAACTCGGTCGAAATCGATAGGCCCTGTTATTTGGTCTCGTTGTCACACTCAGATATTGTCCGTTCTGCCTCATGAATCACATCGATGACGATCGGAACGTGTAAATCTTACTCTGTTGCGGATATCTACTTGTGTCACGAAGCTGCTTCTTGTTAAGTTTCACTAAATAGCATGTCGTAGGAGTGTTTACCCAAATACTGCGTTTGAAAGTTCTGTGATAATTAAACTACATGCTTAAGAGCCAAAACGTGTTATTGTCAGTGTGCACACTGCACCGTGCTGGAGCACTGAGGTGAACTAAGTTTCGTTACTCAAAAGTGCGTCGGTAGTTAGGGAAGCACACAGCCTTCCTCTAGTAAAAGCACTTCGCATGGAGGTAGTAGTATGATGTACGTTTCACTACCTGTGGGTGTACGGAAAATTTTCGCATTATTTAAACAACATGGATATTCGCAACGACTCGATAGCCATCCACTTATGCAATAGGCATGCATATGTGCACGCGCAGCTTCATGCTGCACAGAAAGGTCCAGTGATCGATAGAAAATTGTTTGCTTACTTGCGTTGCTCTTTTTTCCTCCTTCTGTTTCCACCGTATTCTCATCAGTCGACTTGTTCCCCGCATCTGATTCATCCGTTAGCTCGTGTCTATTGTCTCCCTTGACTGACTGAGATCCGTCATCCATGGTGCTAAGCTGACACCGATGCGCCGGTAGATTTGCTGACCCCATCACATGCACGCCATTCGACAACGATGCATAGTGAGTTGGCAAACTTAACTGTGGCTCCACCACGGAAGCCTCCTGCTTCAAGGATACGCCCTCATCTGGAGTCACTTGAATCATGCAGTCGGAAGAGGCTTGCTGGGCTAAATCGGCGGAGTTTGGTGTAGAACAATTACGCACGGAGCACGAGGACGAGTCTCCTGAACACATTGGTTCACCTCGCGCCCCGATTGGGTAAGCACGCGGGTTTGGACCACTAAGGGCATTAGCTGGTCCACACGCTGTCTCCAGGTGACTATGGTAGCCGGAGGTACTTCGCTCCATTGACAGTGTTCCGGATGGATCACTGCTCGAGTCACCTGGACTGGTTTGGTAGGAGCAACCAAAATGATTATTGGTCACAATGTTTGTTGTGGTGTTGGTGGCGTCGGGGAGATGTGTCTGTGAGGGAGAAATGTCCGGTTTGTTTAGATTCCCCAGTCTTGTATTGTTTGTCAGGTACGACATCATAAAGGGCAGTTGTGAATACTGGTCAATGAGCGGTCCGCCTGACACCAGATGCTCGTTGGACAACGGTTCCTCTTCCACACTGGACCGACAACCTTTGGTTGTCCACCGTGACTGAGGCGAGTTCACTGTACTGACCTGTGCGCCGTGATATGGTGACTGTTGCAGTTTGAAGCTGATGTTACCGGTTTCAAACAGGTACTGGGCGCTGTTGTCGAATCTAGTCAGAGCAGAATCAGTTGGGTGCGAAGTTGATGGATAACTTATACCTTCGTAGTACATTGACGGTGCGTTGCGTAGTGTCGACGCAGGCTCTAGTGGACGTCGCGGAGTAGACGAGGCGGACCAGCTATCCAGTTTATTCAATTCACACGACTCAGTCATTCCTCTTCTAGCCCAATGAATGGTGTCTGTAACCGGATTGTACGAGGATGTCGAATTGGCCAGCAATTCCGGGGATGAGGTAGCCTCTGGCATGGGAATGTTCGAAGCAGGAGAAGCATGCGTGATGGACTGGTCTAAGTGCAGGATGCCGTGTGATAAATGAATGCGTTCCATTTGGTGATCAACGGGGAAACGGTAAGCTGCTTGCTCCGATAGTGGATAGTGTGAATGCTGCCGTTGCACGAGTTGTTGCGAATGTTGTACCACATGTTGCGCATAATGCGTGGGAATATCTTCCAGCCTCGCATGCGCGGGATCTGAGGAATAGATCACCCTTTCCAGTTCGAGGGGCAAGTTCGACTGTGGGGATAATTTCACGGATAACTGCCTAAAGTGATCCACTTCGGTGTCGGGAGTTGGTGTCACAGGGTAAAGCATGGTTGGAGCAACTGTACGCACATTCTCTGTCATTATGTTCACGAAGAATGACAAATCCGGTCAGATGAATGAGCCAGATGACTGAAAGTGCAACACGCTATCCGAAATCTTGTCCGTTTAGTTCGTCCTCTGCAACCTGTAGTGTGCCCGCGTGCGCACGTCTGTGAGCTGATCTTGACCCCCGCAACGACCACCAGCACACACATGGGTCTTGTTAAGCTCTCGAGTGGAAGGGGACGAACATGTAGGCGCTAGCTCTACTTCTCATGGTGATGACAATATGCTTGCGCGCATACACAGCACACGCATGTGCATATGTGTGCACCTTGCGTGCCGCTCGCACGCTTCGTACACCAATCTGAACCGAGCTAGTATCTGATTGGTTCTGTTTTGTGTGCCGATTCACCTGCACAACATTCGATTGGGGAAGGTCCACGCGGATCGGTGGACCAGTCGATGCGAGGCAGCCACCAACAATGATGGAATGAGAAAGTCAGATTCCGTGGTGCAATCGTGTGCACAGATATCAATGGGAGAACGATGGCGGTACACGGCTTAAGCAACTCTATGGTTATCCGATTAATCGTCCGCGGTCACTGAAGTCATTTACACAATAGTGGTGTGCAATGCGGTTGCAGAATACGTACGCGGCAAGAACTTGGGGTAGCTGTACTGCTGTACTGTATGTCGGCTCATTCCAATACTCATAACTGGGTCTATCACGTCCTCGTTGAATGCTATGCTTGTTAAGCTTGAGGTTGGACATTTCAAAAGGGTCCACTTCATTTTACTTTGCACGTAAGAAGCGCATATGTCGGGGAGAACCAAATCATGAAATTCGTTTAAGACCACGGTAGTGTGAGGTTCATCAAAGGATGGCAAATTGTGTTGCTCTTCTGCCACCTACAATTTTGTCCATTGGATAATAGCACTCAGATCGGAAACTGAGATTGACAGCTGAAGTGAGATTTTGGTTGCACCTGACAAATGAACAGTTCCGTCTGTTTTATTGCTTAACCTGGTGGAATCTGCCGAGTTAAGAAGTTTAACCAGACAATCAGGCGCAAGTAAAACTATACCGAAGCACTGCACAATTTCCTAGGTTATTTGCACACAATGTGATAGCAGGTTTGTGGAAAGATTATTTGCAGGTTTATGAAAAGATCACGAAGGTCTCATGATTTACCCCCAAGTGTTTCAGAAACGTTTGCATTCAAGTGTTCTTATTCAGCTCCATTAATGGCGTATTTATTGGTGAAAAGTTTTTGGTTTACTGTACCGTGCCCTTGTCGGATCACTAACAGCATGGTTTAAGTCAAGCTGAACGCACAGGTGATGTGGTGTCAGTAATAAGTGGTAACAACACCTGTCGATACGTCCACGGCGTTTGGCAATGGTTTGTTTGCAGGAAGTGATAGGCGAATTATAATTTCACAGTCCAGCTTGCCAGATGAGTCCATCACTTTGAGAGATGTCACCCACGTCTTTTGAAAGGGAGGTTAACACCCTCACTCAAAAGGGCTTGCTGGTGCTGTCGCCAGGGTTTGTGGGCTACTCAGCGTGCTTACTCTTGCGGTGAGGAAACCGAATTCACTCACGCATTGTTGATCACTGTGTACGTTGATCATCGCACCCCAAGAAGTTGGTGTGTATTCGTATTGGAATGACCACGATCACACTGCCGTGGGAACACAGTTTACATGAGCCAACGAACGTACGGTGCTGTTTATCAGAACTTCGTCATGTAACCGTTACAAAACAGTATGATGATTAGTGTTGCGGTGTTTGAAGTCATTTTCCCTATGTGAGCCTCTGTAGCCGGGTTTCAATGAGAACCACATCGAACCCTTCCAAGTTCTCTGTGTGAATTGGGGAGTCACCTGTATAAAATATGACCATGCACGTGCGGAATAGTCCTTTGAAAGATGTGACAGTTACGAACCCGAACCGACAGGGTGGTACACTGGATGTAGTGCGCTTTCGCCATTCTCAATTCTGTCGTCTCCTTACTTCAATTTGGGTTGAAATTGGCAGCAACTGGGGCACTGGCATACATTGTTTCGGTCCCACTGCATCAGCTTTTGTGCAACATCAGTCCATGGTTGTTGCGTCCCAAATCGAAACCAAGCTGTGCGATCCACGGGTACTGAGGAAACAGCCAATCCGATCGATCTGCTACTTCCCCCATCCATCTTGTATGGCGAACGGCCCTCTGCATTTGAACCAACTACCCAGGAAATAACCAGAATACAAGATGGAATAAGCTTAACCGATTGACTTACCTAAAGGGCAAATGGAAGATAGTATTCTAGCTAGTGGGTGTATTACCATACGTCCCTCGAATTACATACTTTCCATTGCATTGAAATTCAAAGTTTTAAAGCCAGTGCAGTACGTGACTTTCAATATCAGGAGCCCAACAAGATGCAGGGCAGTGATTGCATAACCCTCCGTCGTCGCTGCCCTCTAACTGGGCTTGGGTGTCTTTTGTCGCCTATTGGACGCACATTCTTGAGTAGCGACAGGTACCGAAACAAACAGCTTGCTATCCGTTGGCACCTATTTGGGGAACACAACCTTCCGAATAGCTCTAGGTCCAACAGATATGCCCAAGATTGAACGGGCGACTCCGAATCTTGTATGCGGATATCTTAGATTTTCCCCAAAATTGTTGGTGATTGAGTGACCAGCCCGTGGCAATCCATTACTTGTGATCTGTGCACCACTGCGCGTATTCCATCTCGGTACGAATGACAGCCTCTGAGTGCTTCCAAGGCACGGGGCTACTTTCCCTCTGATTTACCTGCCCAGTGGCGACGAATGAGTTAGCAGAGTATGGGATGTGGCCCCTGCAAGCTCGGTCATGTTCACATCGACTCATAGTGGACCGGATTGCGTTGGTATACTTGTTGGTACGCCATAAATTTGATGAGATGATTTTTACTCCCCAATGCAGAATGCTTGTTTGGCCAAATATGACATACCTAATACCCAATGACCTTAAGGATATTTTGTGTCAGGTTCATCTGTGGTAGTGACTCGGATTTCGTTACTGCCCGAGGACGAATAGCTGTAAGCGGTGTTATCCAGTCTCGGAACACTAACAGTGAGGCTGGTGTAGTAAACTAAATGGCTCCGTATCATACCATACCGCCAAATATCTTTGACACCCTTATAAGGAATTAAGCGTGTCCTCGGGTCAATTTACGGTTGATCAGACGCAAGACGGGAAGCAATGCCGCTACAACCGTAAGACCCGCTAACGCAGCTGAAGCTCTGAAGACTCATAGAGAGCCCCACCCCCGATCTGCACCAGCACCAGACAACTGTGAATGTCCGTGAATTTTTAGAAAAGCAACAGCGAATGCATCACATGAAGATATTCACAAAGAGTCCCTATTGCATCCCTTCATAAACCCCAACCATCGACAGATCTGCATGCGCGGGCATGTTGTGCATGTAAATACGATCCGTCTCTTGGTGGACACGGGTTCTCTGTAACACAGGAAACATACATTGTATTGACAAAGATTCCTCTGTCAACTAAGTAAAATAGGTGGGGTTTCGGGCTGATGAAACTTCTGTTACAGTCTAAGTTGATGGCACAGAACCTTCTGAAGAATTGTGTGGATTTCCGTAACATGTTGCCAAAATAAATTTCGAATGAAGGCAGCGTGAAAAAGACCACGGTTTACTGACAACTGAATTGGAACAGCAAACTCGTTATAGAGTCCGGTGAAGCGAGTGTTGCAACAACCGTACTAACATCCGAATGGACACAGCAGGTTACGAGTGACCATCAGGATCTAGAGCGCCTGGTGCAGTAATCTAACCAAACCATCTCACCATAGCCGACGATCTCTCGAAAAATAGTATGGCAGCTGACCTCAGGAGGGTCCGCCAAAGCTAATAACTGCTGTAGACAACTAAACCCAATCATTAGACATAACAGACGCTCTCTTGTTATTACACCAACTCGTAAAATCCTCTTAGCAAACGGCCTGATCACCAGCTGTATCATGCTTCGAACTTATGGGACCTTATCAAGGTAACCGAGACGTTACCGAGTAAGAAAATTACAAACACAACAACCGCACTACCTGAGGTGTTGTTCCTGCACAACGATTGACTCAGTTATGGTGGTGTACTTCTTTACTACCGCACTGGCCCACATCTTGATCTCATCGATCATCTGGTGGTTCAGAATATCGATCGCCTTGGGGTCGTACTCATCAAACACGCGCCGATACATATTTAGTGGGTGTTGTGTTCGCCTGCGCAACTGTTGCAGTTATTTTCTTTATTTTTATGTATTGCGGTACAGAGCTAAGGTATTTTACACCTCTAGCTAACGTGTATAATGATAATGATGATGTGTGCTACCTCACTATCGTCTGCTTCAAAAATGCGTAATCGTCTATCGTCCGCTCTGAAGACTCTGACGGCACGGTCAAGCAGGCACGTTCTCCTGGTGGGTGACTTCAATCTTCACGTGCAAGAAATCCAAATCTGTGTCAGCAAACACGTCAAAGTGCGTTTCCAGAAGCCCATCAATGGCTTAGCACTGCAGAAACACGTTACTCACCTCACAATATTCAGGATAGAGCGCAAATCAACCGTTCTGGACCTCGCGAGGAAATTATGATCGAGACTGTATCGATATATCGTCATTTAAGCAGCAGCTTTCACGCTCCACTACTGTTGCATTTTCCTTGGTATGCCACCGCAATGAAATGTATCATGGAACCATCGAGATGTACTCATATCCCATTTACTGTAGGCACTTTGATGAGAAACCTGTTGTTTATACGTTCATCCATCCCTCCCGGATTTCGTGATATTCGTCTGAATGTGCTTGCCTTAACAGCTAAGGAACTGCTTAAATCTTTGGCGCAATTCTTCGAGCATTGCCTTGATGAAGCGCATGTCCATACAGCCATGAAACGGAATAATAACTTCAAGTTACACAGAAGGCAATCTCTCCGACTCAGCTAACTACCGTTCAATGACACTTACTCCAATTCTTTCAAAAGTTGTGGTTCTGATTCCTGACGCGATAATGTCTTACGTAGCTGAAGTTAGCCACCTCGCGCCAGCACAATAAGACTTCCGTCGGAATAGATCGTGCACTACCAATCTACTGTTAACACGAGACAGTTCGACCGAAACAGTGGATGTTGGTGTAGAGGTTGATATTGCCTATCTCGACTTCTCAAGCATTCCACTGTTTGAACCCTT